TTTATTGAAAAGAACAAAAAAGAAAAGCCGACCTGGAGAAAATTGATCATTAATTGTGGTTTCAGTACCAAGTGGTCTATGCTTTTTTTTTTTTTTTTTTTTTTTTTTTAAAGTTTTCTCTAACATTAAGGCAGGACAGAGAGTGTCTTGAGCTCTTGGGACAACTTCACACAGAGTAAAGTGCATTTTCCAGTCCCAGAGAATTGAGACCATAAAAGAATTCTCAGGCGCTATGGGGCACAGCTGGAGCACACAAGAGGAGGCATCAGCTTGTGGGCTTCAGAGTTCACAGAAAATACCAGCTTAGTATTAGTCTCATATTTGTTTATAACTAAACAGGCAATAAAAATAAAACTAATGATTTTTTTCTGATTTTCCTTCTGTACTTCTTATATTAGACAATGCTAGTTTCCAAGTCTTTTTTGACAAGTATATTTTATTTAAGCAGTCACTTATAAATGAACCTATAGGGTTGTTGTTGGGCTTTTAGTATTATAAATATTATCAATATTATCAACATTAGCATACATTGTGTTGGGGGATACAGTTCAGCAGCACAAGTGCCTGTCTGGTAAACACAATTCCTGGTACATTAGTGTGCATTTGTCTTAGTGTTTAAAAAAATCTTTATTGGTACACATTTATAGCACATAATGATCACCTTCCTTGTGGGGAATTGGTACATATACATAATATATCTTAATTCTTTTTCTCATAACCCCTTCCATTTCTTGGTCCCTTTCACTTTTGCAAAGATCTACTTCCCTGTTTCCTATTGTGTATCTTTTATTTTGCTCTTCATTTATGCTTTGGGTTTCTTATGCAAGGGAGGTCATGTGATATGTTTGATTTATTTCACTTAACATTACTGTCTCAAGATGCACTCATTGTCCTACACGACTCAAATTTATCCTTTATAATAGAGAAGTATTCTGCTGTGTGCAACTACCACATTTTCTTGACCCATCCAATTGCTGATGGAAGTGAAGGCTTTTCCAACATTAGGTTATGATAGTTGGCTGTTGTAATCAGCACGTGTCACTATATGATGATGTCTTTAACTCTTTCAGGAAGATACCTAGAAGGGGAAGCTCTTGAAGAAGCCATCCCATCCAACCTCTGTCTCAGTAACAACCCTTTCCTGAACTTATCAGTCTTACCCGAGTGGGAGATGGTGTGTGAGGGGCTGGAGAAGGGAAAGGGGGCGTGAAGAAGAGGAGCAGCTCTTCTAGTGGGTGTGTCCTATCTGGATGTGACACTAGGAACCAAATTACACATTTTGAGGACCATCAGACGTCCTCACCTGGATGAAAAATTTACCAACTCTTAAGAGCCGAGGTGAAAAATTGAAAAAACTTGGGTCTTTGTACCTGATCAAGTTATGTCAATGAACAGTTTTGGGGTTGATTTGTCATCAGGGAAATAATGTATTGCCTTTATTTTTTAAGCTGTCTGGAATTTAGCTTTCTATTCTTTGCAGCCTTAAAAGTTCTATATTTATTTCACTTATGAGAATAGTCTCAAATAAATCAGACTCACATTTATAAATATAGTATTGTCTCTCTAGTATAAAAATAATAATAAAAAATTGAAAGAGTAATAAGATCCAAAGTGTAATAGATACTGAGATAATGAAAGGGAAATAAAGTGCTCTAAAGGATATAACTGTATGTATAAGTGTGCAAGATAGATAATGATACTGTTTGTGTTCATCAAACAGAATGGTTTGTACTGTTATTGTTTGATTGTAGTTTTAATGCTTTGATTTTGTGACTTGAGCAACTACTTCCAAGATAACATCATTTAATTTGTTTTTTTGAAATTGTGTTTTATTTCTACTCTTTGTTTTGCTTTTTTTCTCTAAATACAAATGATTTCTATATTTGTATATGATGCTGAAAGCTTGTTGTTTAGCTACCATAGTCTTTCTTCCTTTTTCTTTCTTTCAAGTAATTAAAATGTAAGCAGTTAACACCCTGGACATTAGTTGCTCTGAGGCAATCCATGCTGCATATATTAGGAGCCTCAGCTCCCTCAACTGTAAACAGAAGAGGAGGGAATTCACTTATCTATTCAGTAGGAGCATATACAGATGCAGAGGCTGCTTCATTACTTACAGAGAAGTAAGGAGGATGAAGAATATTGGAGGTAGAGGAAAGTCAAGTCTGAAATAGAATTGGTAGAAGAAAAGAGAACAGATTAGTGCAATATGATTTCCAGGCAGCCTTGGGGGTCAGTGGTGGGGAGCAGAAGGTCATGAATGTGTAAGACCTGTACCCATGGCCTAGGCTTGTCCCAGTCCCACTTGGCCACTGAAGTCTTAGGCCACTCACAGCAGACATGAGGTATGGGTTCCAGAGCAAGGTGTAAGGCTTTGGAAGGAGTTGGCTTGGATGCAGCCTGGACCATATTCTGTTAGCAGCTGGGTCAACTTTACTATGTGCATCCCCAAAGCTATTCCTAAACATCTGGTTACAGAGGGAAAATTGCTAGGATTTATATAAATATTTGATAATTTTCTTGCCACTACCTATATAAATCCAACAATAAAAACTGCCTGCCAGGCTGTGGCCACCCCAGGGCAAGAACCAGCCTCTACTGAGATCCGTACCATGTTGGAACTCAAGGCACTGGGAAACTAAGCAACCAGCTCACTTCTCTGGTAAGCATCTGTGGTGTGGCAGGCTGTGGCCACCCCAGGGGGAGAACCACCAGCAACTCCTGAGATCCATGCCATGTTGGAACTTAGGGTGCTGGGAAACCAAGCAACCAGTTTGCCTCCCTGCTAAGTGGTAGTGAGCCTACTGGCACACAGGCTGAGAATCAAACACCTCCTCTCCCCCCATTAGCAAACGAGAGCCAGAGATCTGAGCATCTTATAGGAGGTTGACCATATACAATATAGCAAGTAAGGGGGATTTCCTTCTACCATCTCTTTGACGGAAAATATATTTACCACTGTGTTGCTTTATTCTGATTAATGATATTGCTCTATTCAATATTCTGTTGGGTAAGTTCTATAATGTTCTGTATTTTGTTTTATTTTCCTATACTGATTGAAAGAACACCGATTGTGAAGATAATGAGATGTACTATGGTAACTATTACTGTTAACCCTGTAACCTGCTGTGAAGTTCTATACCAATTTCACTACACTGTCTGAACTGGCTTTGTTCTTTCCTGCTCTGTTGTATTTTACTACCTTCAAAATTATAAAAGATTTTTTTTAAAAAACTGCAAGTTATTGGCTATTCAAGACTTTGAGGATGGGAAAAATTAAACTCATTTCATGGTACAATAGCACCTAATCTTCCATTAGTAATTTCATTAAAAATAGTAATGATAGATAATGAAATATATTTTAGAAAAATTTGTGCTTTGATTTCCATGTTTTCTGTTTAGGTCAGATTATGGGGCCAGGATTGCCTAAATTACAGGCATGCACTACCACATCTAGCTTTGATTTCCTTTTTGTGGGCCTCAATTTTCTTTTTAAAATGAAGTCAAAATAATTGCAAGTATTTTAACTGCAGAGACCCACAGGAAGAGAGCTACCTAAGTGGTAAGCTTGGGGGCTGGCTCCCAGAGTCCTTCCACAACCCACATGCCTGTATCTGTTACTTGGAGTTGAGAGGTCAACAACAGGACTTCTTGAATTTAAGAGAGGGGTGGGACACTCTGGAGTCCATGGAAGTCTGTGGAAAACTCCAAGAAGTTACTCATTTGTGGGTGTAGGGCAGTGGTTCCATCCCTCTCCTTTCTAATGGGGGCAGCAGCTCTTCTGACTATTGTGACAATGAAATGAGGCAGAATGTTGTAACTTTCCAACAAATTAAGCCAGAAATCATGACTTGCTTTTTGAGGTATTAGCGACCAAATCTAGGGCCTGTAACTATACAAGTGCTTTATTTATTTATTTTTTGAGGTATCATTTCATTAAGTTTTGCTGGCCTTGACATCCTCCCATTTCAGCTTCCTGCTTCTATACCTGGCCAGAAACCATGACTTTAAAAAAAAAAAAAAACAATTAAAAATGTTGGTAACTCATTAAAAATATAAACACTTTTTATGGACAAATTAATTTTTTTACATCTATGATAAGGTAGTGACAGCCTTTAAAATGTAAACTATCCAGGGGGTAAGATTATTGCTTAATCTGTTATTAATCAATACTTTGATAAATCAAGTTTTTATGATCAAAAATCTGGAATGCTGTAAATACTTTCTGCTGCTGTCTCCTGTCTTACAACTTCATATTGTTCAGACAATGGGCACATACCAAATATTGTTAATCATACAGCAATGTGATTAAGAGGTACCTAGCAGATTAGTAAAGCACATTTCTGCATGTGTCTGTGTGGTCATGACTTTGGGGACTGTCCTTTCTTCTCTGGTGCTTTTTCCAACCAGCTCTACTTTCTGGCCACCATGAACTAGGCAAGCAGCTTTGCTTCACCATACCCTTCTACCATGATGCTTCTGCTTTGGAGCCTGATAACCACAGACTGAATCTTTTGAAAGTGTGAGCCCTTATCCTTTAAGATGTGTGTTTTATGGACTTGCCAATGAGTCCATAAAGCAAAAGAGTCTGGCTAAGAAAGAAGCAGCAGAAAGAGACAGAACAGAAAATGTATGTGATGCTTCCAGCCAGTGGAAAGAAGCTGAGGTCTTCCATCCACTCCAGTTCATGTGGGGTGGCAGGGGGTGGTGCTTGCACATGTGCTGGAGAAGAAAACACTGACATGTTCTATGGTTAGATTTGGGCTACTGGGGAGCACCCTGGCAGCTGAGAGAAGGATGGGTCACAGGACTCGGTTAACTATTTTGTTTTCAGCAAAATTTGGAGAGACCACTGTCTTGTGTACAGAGAATAACATGCTATTGTTGCCAAGTACAAGTCATTAGGTACCACATGAGGTCACAGCAGCCCACGCTGCCCTTGGCCTTCAAAGCATGCAGAACATATGGTATCTCTTCCTAAGAAATAAAGATGGACTCAGTTTCAGCAGAAATCACAAATTTATTAACTCTTAAATATATTCCATCAATCATTTACCATTATGACAAGAAATATATACAGTGTTCCATGGTAAATTGCAGTGTTTCAAAATGATAAAGATAATAAATGTGTAATTCAGTTGTGGTGCAGAGAATGAATCACGATTTCCTCACAGCTGAGTGTGGAAGACAAACTTGATCTACAGAAATACTTCAACACCACATGCTAAGTTAAAAGTGTAAAAATAACCACTCTACACCTATGTTTTTAATACATGTATGCCACGTATAGCCGCTTCACAAAAAAGTAAAAGAAATTAAGAAGAGAAAAATGAGGCCATTACTTTTCACAGATCTCATTGGCAGGTTAACATGGCTCAATACATTTACTGTATATATTTACTTTAAATATATATTGTTTTAAATTGTGTAATAATTATCAGAAAAGCTTCAACCCATCTATCATATGTCCACTAGCAACAATATCTAAGGTTATTAGTAATCAACACAGAAAGGTGAAATATGAGAAAAGTGAGTTATTTTTTGTTTTTGTTTTTTGCTGTTTTAAAAAATAGGCTTCTGAAGACTGCAAGTAACTATGGTTAAAATAATGTCGATGGAAATTCCATGCACTAACAGCATTTCAGGGAAGAGAAAAAGCCTCACAGGAAATGCATCAACAGAGGAGAAACAAGAAGCACAAAGGAAACTGGCACATTTCCCTTTTCTTTTTGTTTTAAACTGGAAAATCCTAACTCCATGGAGGAAGATGATATTGCGACTCAAGAGGAAAGCTGAAGTAGCCCAGGTCACAAAGATGAAGTTCAAAACACGAGAATGGAAAATAGTCGTGAGCTCTCCAACTTTAGTAAATTAGTTGGGGACAAGGCAGGAGGGGCCCCTGCAGCTCCCAAGGTGGGAACAGTGCATTTGTGTAGAAGCCTCAGCAGCTCCAAACACGTTGTGCCCTGGCAACTGCCCCAGTGGCTGAAGCCCATTGGTTACAGTGGAGATAGCCTGGCTTTTAGCAGAAGTTCCAAGGATTCAAACACTTCCAACATAGTAAGGATACCTACATCCCAGTGGGAACTTAAGCAGAACTGAAAAATCTCAACTTAAAATCTTCTTTTCTGTGGGCCCTGCCTGAAATGATCAAGTGCTAGTTTAGCTCCCTCCAAAACACCTTGATTTTTATAGTCATTCAGCAAATTGTGCTTTGATTTTTTTCTTATACCCTAATTAACCCCTCCCCCCAAACAAAAGGAAAACAAAAATAAACACTGGAAAACCAAAAGAAAAATAAAAAAGGAAGTAAATAAAAGGAACAAAGAAATAAGATAAAATCAAGAAAACAGATTTGAGAAAGGAAAAAGAAAATCAATTCATTGAATTCACCAGAACAGTGTGAATATATCTGAAAGTAACCAAACTTGTAAATGATGTGAATTTTTCCAGTTTACATGGTTTGACCAAAAACAACATGGCTTTCAATGGTAGCAAATCATCTGACTACTTTCATATGTCATATTTTTTATCTCCATATCAACCCACTTTCACTGTGTAACAGCAAAGCTCTCAGTGAAAACTACTCATTTCAACCAGGGTCACACCAGGAAACTAAAGGTATGTTTTTAAACCTTCAAACAAAAACCAAAAAGCAAGAAACAAGCTAAAATACATTAATGGCAGAATTCTAAAAAATTTACATTTCTCTTACAAACTCATTCAGAGAACAACAATTTTTAAGTCTGTTAGATCTTGGCATACACAGAGAACCTTGATAAATATGTTGTACTTGGAATATTGTGGAATTCCTCTGTCTCACCTCCCCTGTGGTTTGCCAACAGTCACTGACGTGTGCATGGAGCATCGCCACCACGGAAGTGTAAACAATGTACAGGAAGGAAGAGATGACAAGATGACACATTGCATATGCATTACGTGGAGACCTTCACAACTTCATGCACTCAAACATGCATGAAGAGGAGGAGAGGATAGCTGAGGGGCCACCGGGGTGCCTCAGGAACAGAGAACGCAAAAGTGGCACTGGGGATGATTAGCTGGAAGGAGAAAGAGGAAGAAGTAAGTGATGTTATTCTACAAGTTGTCACTAGGCTGCTTTGCCACAGCTGTGACTAGGCTACAACTTCACAACTCAACCAAACATTGGACAATACTACATATAGAAGTTTGCTTGGAATCATTACAAAATAATAAATATACTGTCAAGCAAAGACAATGTTAATATAGGAACTCAGTGGTATCTCTGTGTTGACACAAAGCTAAGTTAAAACAGAGGTAGGGTCCCAGGCACCAGCCGTATTATTAAGTCTAAGTGTGCATTTTAAGCAATCATATTTACTAAACAAATTTAATAGGTTAGTATTATCATTTGGTTAAAAGAGACTCAAAGTTTAAGTTCATCCTTAGCTTTTTCATTATTCTTAGATTACTTGGGAAATAAAAACTTGAAGTCAATTCAACAAGGAAAATAGTATTAAGTATGGAGAAAACATGATCATTATTTTATTTTATTTTAGAGACAGGATAGTCTAGGCAGGCCTCGTACTTGCTATGATCCTCCTGCCTCAGCCTCCTATGCACTGGTATTACAGGCATGCATTGCCACACAAAACATAATTATTCTCATTTAATCCTTTCAAGAAATAGCTAAAGCGCTATTTTTAAAAGCTTTTCTAGGGTTTAGTCTTTGAGTAGGAAAATATTCATAACAGCACCACACATATCTTGATCCTAATCCAAGTTTAAGAAACAAACCTTTAAAAGCAACATAGACAAGGATTTAATTAAAGTCAACTTTCAATTATCCTCCAGAATCACCTATTTTGTGTGCTTTAAATTTCAGCTTGATTTCCTCCCATGGCCTGTCCTCATGTCAAGTACCATTATACTCAGGCAGGCATGGCCAATTCATTTCAGATTAGCCAAAGTCAAATGCTTACAGGAATTGCAACTTTCAGAAAAACAGTTAGACACCAAAGGACTCTGAAGCTTAATACATTATTAGTCTGGATAATTGAGAGTCGTTTGAATCATCCCAGGCATAACCAATGTTTGATGTAAGAACTCTAGATTCAAAAATGACACAATCCAAACACTGAATAAAGATCTTTCCCAGCATTAATACCTTTAAAATAAGGGGTATGCTGTATAATAGGGCTGGTTGTTAAACTTAGGAGCTCATGCAAAACTGCGATAGATTGGGACATTATCTTGTGTGTACTTCATGGACTGTTATTTGAGCAAAGATCCTCAAAGGGAAGGAAACAGCCATATAGCTTTCAGCCACCAGCTCCAAACACTAGTATCACGGAGCAGGATGCTACTTACAAGACCCACATGTGAATGGTTCTCAGGCCTTAGATGTGTTGCCACAAAGAGATGCCTCCTGAGAAGTTCTCTTTTCCACTTGGAACACAGGGTGGCCTATTAAGAGAAGCCTCACTTAAGCTCCCTGGCATAAAAGGAAGTTTTCTTAAATAGGCTCTATCTCATCAACCCTTGAGGGAACTTTAGAAGGACCTAATTCCCTGGTACTGCCAGAATATAATCCCTTCTATGTTAACCGTAAAAAAACCACACACACAACAGCATGAAAACTGGTATCTTCATTATCTTCATATTCCCTTTGTATTTTTTCTTTCTTAAATGGCTATTGTTTTGGAATATATTTCAAGGTATTCTTTTATGTTTGTCTTTGTTGATACTTTTTAAAATTTTTTCATGAATCCAACACTGACACTGTTATTAAGGCTATGGAGAAGGCCTTTGGAAACCACTGTGTATGTTATCTAAGAAGTCTCTGCAGTGAGCTGAATGAGTCTGAAACCCATCTCACATGCTCAAGTATTAACAGGTAGGCTGGTGAGAGAATTTGGAGAGATCAGCAGTGAGAGGCCAGACTTCCGAATCTAAATTCCCTTTCTTCTTTTCATCTTGTCCCACGTCACTGATACAACCGATTTCCTTTTTTAGTCTTTACTCCAGTTGGCGCCGGTTTGCCTTGCCCACCACTGACCTACCATTACTTCATAAGCCTCCTTTAGCAATCTGTGTCTCCAAATGCCCTGTATCGTGACCTTGTCCAAAATTCTCTCATATGGAAAGTGTACATCCAAACTGTTACTTCTAGCAGCTTGTTTATTGGTTTCATTCTACAATAAAGTTGACTATAAATTTTGTGGTTCTGTTCCTTTGGCATCAGTGATTAGTTGTTTTCTAAAAAAGAGCACATGTTCCTTGAGGGCAAAGTCTCCCCTCTCACACAGGGGAGATACTGAGGACCACAGAATAGAAACTGACATAGAATCTGTCTGAGGTACCCCTTGCCCTGCCTTGTGAGCTGGTTTTGGAATGTGGTAATCCTCTTCCTGTCAGTCATCCATGGGATGATGCTCACAGAGCAGAATGAAGTCTGCTGAGGACTACAGAGGGAAAACTAGCACCCTCGTATAGGGCTATATCTTCACTTGTTTCCTTTATGATGTTAAACTTGCCCATTCAATCACTACTTCTTTGCTGTTCCAAGAAAAGCACCCCCCCACCCCGCACAGGCTAATAAATTGGTGGCTAGTTCGAGATTCTTGGTCTTTTTTTTTCAGAGAACACTGATTCTCCCAGAGCCCTAGTTTGTTGCAGTTCTTCTCTTGCTCTTTTTCTTTCTCACTGTATACTGTTACTCTGGGCAGGAGACAGGAGACTCCCTGCAGGGGTCCCTGAAAACTGGCACTCTGGGAAAGGGTCTCTGATAGTGAAATACGGAGACGTACAGCAATGTTGGTCTAATGATTGGAAGTCAAGACTGATGTTTGAGGAAGAGTGGTGAGGCAAGAATACACTACAGTACTTAATTTTTTTTTAAAAAAATGTTGTTCTATAAATGTTTCCAACTGTTTGTACCTGAGCCCAGGAGGTCATCAATGAAGTTCAGCTCCTGACAGTCCATGGGCTGTTTTGGAAACTCGTTCTTATGCTTTTTCCTACAGTCTCTTTCTCTGCCAATTGTGAAAACTAAATCATAAATACTTTGCCTCATTACACAAATTCTCTTGATTTGAACTCATGATATCAGCCTGATACAGTGGTTTCTAGTTCCCATCTAAATGATTGCTTTATGCAGTTCTCAACTCGCACTGCCTGTGTTGACTGATCTTCCCGGGGAACTACACACACTTCCCATAGACGCCTGGGTTCCAACCACCAGCACCAAATAACATATACCATGCTGTTAATAACTGGATAGGTAGAAGGAGCTGACTGTGGCTATATTGACCTAGAAGCCGACAGCTTGGGAATATTTACTTGATGGGTACGGTGGGTGACCCCGAGCGATGAAAATGAACATTCTGCCACTTTCCATCCCGGCGATGCCACACGCGGGTCTCTTCTGATTGCATGGTCTTTGGCATCCCGCTGCCATCCATGTACTGTGTGAGCCTAATGTATGCTATGCAGGCAGCATCGTCCCCTACCAGATGCACGTGGGGGTTCAGGATGATGGTGTGTATTGGTTTATTGCTTTTGGACAAAGCTGAAAGAAAAACACATGAAAATAAATTAATTTCTATGTAAACTAAAACTAGTAGTAACTTCAGTGCTGGTCAACTTACTGATAGTTATGATACTTATTGAAAATTATGCTATTTATTCACTCTTTAATTAACTAAAACTCTAATTATTTGCACTGATCCAGTGCTGAGCACTGTAAAAAGTATAAAAACACAAATAAAAATAGGTAGAATATTTTCTCTGGTTTCTTTTACAGGTGCTTTTTATGCTACTCTGGAAATTTGATCAATAGAGGAACAGCTAAAGAGATTTATTTATTCATAAAGGAAAATGGTTAGAAGCAGAAGTGTTAATACGAAGAGAGGTAGAAAAGGTTTGTGCATGGCAGATGTATTTCTGCATCTCATCTGGGATTCTTAGAGGCAGCAGAGTCTGTTCCATGATATTCTTTCAATTAGGCATCATTTAGCCTAATTCCACACTGTGGTATTAGCTGTGCAGTGTGTGGTTCTAGGCTTGTATCTGTTTTTTGACTAAGTAGTTCTGATTGGGGTCTAGCCATTGGTGCTTTGAAAGTGGCAACACATTCTGTATGTTAAAGTTGCTAAGCTGCCAAGGCTCAGTGAGGTCCTCCTGCCTGAGCCTCCTCGAGAACTGGGATTATAGGAACATACCACCACACCCGAGTCTACCTTAGTTTTTACACAAAGGCAAATATTTTTCAGGGTAACAGAACTTTCATGTCTCATCATCTGTTAATCCTACTTATCCATCTATCACATGTCATCTATCTATCTCTGATTATCTGTCATCTATCTCATCCATCATCTGTCTAATTTTGAATTCCAAATAAAAAATGTTACAGTGCAAAATGCTGGATAACAGTATAAATTTTCACTGTCAGGAAAAAAAAAGCCAAACAATCTGCAAATTTAGGAGAAATTCAAAGGGAAGCTGAACAAGGTGTGTTTCCAAATTTAGAAAGCAATGTACCATTTTCGAAGTAGAATCGGTGAAAGTCCATTCCTTCAACTAAGTTACCCAAAGCTTCAGGTTCGAAGGCAGTAAGGCCTGGGTCACAGATTTTTCTGGAAGAGGAAAAATAATGAAAATGACCAATAAAAACATTGCATATGTTTTTTTGTTGCCTGTGTAAATATTCTTATGAGTCAGTGAATAAAGAGCCTCTAAAAATCACTAAAAAGATAAACTTTCGATTTTGGACCTTGGTTAGCACAGTGGATTGAGCAGCAGACTCCAAAAAACATTTTGCAGAGAACTCTGAGAGGGACAAACTAATGCAAGTGGCTCAGGCCCAAGTGTCTCCTTTTTAAACTTTCCACTTTTTAATTTCGGAGATGAATTATTCAGTTTTCATAACTCTTGATTTAAGTTTGTAATTTTAAAAGATATTTCTTAAAAGTCCTACTTCAAGTCTAAGATATGCTCCAAGTTTACTTTTAATTCTAGAATTGAATGCTTTTGGAATAATGTTTGATGGTCACACCAAAAATCTGTATTATAATTTACTTGAAGAAAGATACCACATCCTATACTTTCTAGAAATACCCACAAGATTTAATTGAGCTTGTATCTAATGTTTACCTTACTTCTCAAAACAAATCGATAGGCAATTCAAATCATAATTTCCTTTTCTAATTCCAGAAATAGAATTCAGCAAAGATACACAAAATTCTAAACATTTGGAGAAAACTAGTAGAATTTCTCTGGAGAAATGTACACATCATTTTTATTCAGTAAAGAACTTTTATATATCTACATTAGCACATATTCTTTGAAGCAAGCAAATATGACAAAACAATTGATACCAGAATAGAGGTTAATGCAAAATGCTCCTCTCAAACAGCATTACCTATAGACAGTAAACAGGAATGATTTAAAAAAGAAAGATGATTTGAGTTGGGCTTTTAAGGATGAGTAACTCTTCCAGGTGTGTGGAAGGTGAGGAGCAGCAGGAGGACAGCATGTACTGTGGTATTCTACTAAGAGTCAAGCGTATTTGGGGACTGATGTTTAGTTGTTAGATGTGACGAGTACTGGGCAAGGGGGCTATTCAAGCCCCCTGGAAGCACTGGGGAAGATCATTTCCTTTGGTCTGCAAGATCAGGGTAGACTTCTGGGCAGCAAAATCTGTATTTTGGAGAACTAAAGGGAATTTACAGTATACATAAAACAAAAAGATTTTGGCCTATTTGCCCATTTGCCAGTAAGTGCAATACAGTAGATCCTATCTAATTCTGTATGCAAATTCCCTTTTTAGGAGGCAAACTTGCTTAACTGTTCAACAGAAAAACACATTTCAAAAGTCTAACTTAACAATGTTCTTCAAAGTGCAGGACTGTTTACAGAATGTGGGACTAGAGATCTGCACAGAATGCTTTTTTAGGCTAAGAAAGTATGGTACTTATTTCATGTGGTAAGGAAGGCCTTAAAGACCAAGACAAGGGTAGGATTACAAATTTCACCTCATGCTGCATGTTGAACAGCTCAAAACAGAGAGAGAGAAAGAGAAAGAGAGAGAGAGAGAGAGAGAGCGAGAGAGACAGACAGACAGAAAGAAAGAAAGAAAAAGAAAAGTCTTCTTATGGTACAGGAATTTATTCTACCAGTGGTTATTATTTCCTCTATAAATATGGGTTTTGATTGTCAGTGAACCAAAATTTCTTACTATCTTGCATCAGTTCTGAGATCACCCAGGAATTGCTGTATTATAATGAATCTCTTTATCCAAATTTCAAGAATCAACTTATTGGAAAACTTATTTTTTTTTTATTCTTGCTTGCTTTCCTTACAATAGCTTTCCATTAATAAAGGATTCCCAAAATAGTTACTAGATATGTGGCTATGTGTGCTTTGAGCAGGGAGACAGTGCAAAGCAATACATTCACCAGTTCCAGAAGCTTCTGAACAAAAGTGCTCTTGGACTACCCTTGGGCCTCAAAGGACAAAAGCAGACCCTATCATGGACCTCCTGAGTAAGGAATGAGTGAACTGACCAGAACCAAGGAAGGCTGTTATCTAAAATACCCTACTTGGTGCTACTTGGCCATAAAGAAGGATGAGCTCGAGACATTTATAACTAAATGGTTGCACCTTGAGACTATGTAAGTGAAGTAAATCAAGCACACAGGTGTAAATACCACATTGTTTTGTTCGTGTGAGAAATCAGAAGTGTAAATAAGGACAAAACTGTATTGTGAAGTAGGAAGAAAATGTTCAAATGAGAAGGGAGAAATTAGGAGAGAGGAAGGAGAAAGGAAGAAAGGGAAAAGAAAAAATGAGAAAAGAAGGAAAAAGTGGAAACAAAGTTTCTGTAAATACGAAGGGGAAGAAGTGTGGAAGGGAAGGCAGTGGAGTAGGAAAATACAGAATCAAGATATATCCTGGGTGGGTACAAATTCGCTATAATGAACGACATCAATATGGTATGTAAAATGTGCCAATTAAAAAAATATGCTATTCCAAACTATCTGAGAATTCAGGAAATATTCCTTGTTTGCCTAGCTACCACTGTGTCCTGTCCTTAAACCAAAACTACACAAGGAACAACCATTACCCTCAATGGAGGTATGCTATTACAAAAGGAGATGAAAGAAAACAGAATATTCCCATTCTTTGGAGAATCACATGGCCTTAGCAGGGTTGTAACTTCAATGAAAAGAATAAAAGAGAGCAGATTCTATGGCAAAACCTATGAATGATTGTTTAAAGGAGAACTGTCTTGGACAACAGAGTTCTCCCACACTACATTTTTTACTATTTCTTTTACTGTAGTATGCTTTAGTAGCTTATGCCAAAAAATTGATACATATATGTATAGGCATATGTTTGTCCATACATACATTTTGAAAAATTTATTTTTTCTACTTATTTTCAGTGCATACTGTTTATATGCCTTGTGAGGAATTCATACCTGTACACAACACATTTTAATTCCCTTTTTCATCATCTTACCCCTCTCCTTTCTCCATCTCTGGATCAATTTTCTTTTGAGAAAGATGTATTTCCCTCCTTCCTATTATCTTTTATTTTGCTCTTTATTTATAATTTGGGTTTCTCATATATGAGAAAATGGGATATTTAAGCTATGTGTTGGATTTATTTCACATAAAATTATGGTTTTTTTTGTACCAGGGATGGAACTCATGACCTTGCACTTGCCAGGCAGGTGCTTAGGCCACTGAGCTAAATCCCCAGCCTAACATTATGGTCTTAAAGTACCCAATTTCCTACATATGATTCAAGTTTATCGTGTTTTATAGCAGAACATATTTCATTCTGTACAAATACTACCTTTTCTTTATCCACTCATACAGCCACTTCCAAGATTTAGCTATTATGAACTGTGCTGCTATAAACATAGGTATGAACAGATTACTGAAATGTAATGCCTTTAGCTCTTTGGGAAGATCCCTAGAAGGAGAACAGGAGAATCAGCTCTTGGGCATTAGTCCCCACATTTAGTTACCTTCTTCCATAGCTGGTATTTGGTTGTTGCTATTGTCTGGACAGTGAATGTCTCCTAGAGGACAGGTCTCCAGTCTATGGTGCCACGGAAGGTGGTGAAGCCTTCAAGATGATGGGAGCATTGCACCCTAAAGTGTGACCCTAAAGAGTGCGGGCCCTTGCCTCTGCTCTTTCTTTTGCCTCCTGGCCACTAAAGGTGAACAGGTTTCTACCATAAGCTCCCTCCATGATGTATGCAGTCACCATGTACTGAAACCTTTGAAACTGTGAGCCAAAGTAAACCTTTCCTCTTTTTAAATTGATATTTCAGGCATTTTTGGTATGGTAATGGAAACCCAACAAAGCTATCCGTTTATAACTAATGAAAAAGGTAATATCTGCTTACGTAAAATTTGAAAAAAAATAGAAAAGCAGAAAAGTTTTTAAAAAAACTTTAGTGTAATTCTTTCCATTTTTAATACTTTTCTTATATTGCTTGAGTAATTATGTACATACACTTTTATATCCTGCTTTATTTTCAGCAAAAATATCACAAGTATTGTTTTAAGATCATGAGAAACTCTTCATGATAAAGACTTCCACTGTACTGAAGGTATCCATGACTTCTTAATATATGATGTTGGATTATATGTTGTTTCCAGCATTCCATGATTATCAATATTGCTACAATGTACTTTTATTCATATATTTTTACTCATGTTTTAGATTCAAAATAGATGTTCATGTTAAAGATTCTTTGCACTCAAGTTTGCATACACCTTACTTAATGGACATGAGCATGTTTTTATCAGTTTACTTGTAATTTATATTTCCTCTTCTGCTAATGGTCAGTTCATATCCACTTACTTTTTTCTTCTTTTTTTTCAATCTTATCCACTCAATAGTTTTAAAATTACAGTATACCAGTTTTGTTTCAATAAATAAATTTAACTTCCTAAAAAGATTATTATCTCTGCTTTTAAATTTCTGAATATTTTTCTAAGCAGAGATCAGAGACACATTTTTGCATTTAATGCTTTCACTCAAGTGGAACTCCCTCCATGTATAGAGTAAGAAGGCTTCAAAGGATATTACCCCCACTTGCTAACACAGAGAGACACATACTTTGTTCAATAAGTCTTATTTAAAGTCTTCAAGTCTTATTTAAAGACTTTCAAGTCTTATTTAAATTGAATGATTTATTTTTACTTGTGCAAAGTAATTCCCTTTACCTAGGACTGAGCAGTTTGTAAACTTGATATTAAGCATTAGAAGGCCCCTTCTAATTGCTGACTACAGTTCTCCTTAAGAGACAAACACGATTGAAATGCAGATAAAGCTGAGCTAGCTACACTTGAACTGCAACAGGAGACACTTGTGTCACCTTTGACTCTCTCTGTCCTCGCCCCTCTGCAAAACTGCAAAGTAAAATATTTAACTCCAAGTGCACACTTTTAAAAAGAACATGCTTTTCTGTTTTGTGACTTCTCCCACATGGATCACTTTCCCTGGAATGTGCTTCTTTCACATGGACCTGTGGGAGTTTACGAAGAAATTTCATTTACAAAGAAATCCCCAGGGTTTAGATGGGAAGTTGGGCTAGTACCAATCTTAAACACACTGCCATTTCAAATCTGGCATTAAATATGTATGAATTCAGATACATTTATATAAAAAAACACCTGCCCTGTGTATAGAAGTGAAATGTAAATGCATGAACTCACGTGTAAGCTTCAAAGTCCCTGTTGTTGATTGCTTCGATCAGTTGTTCAGTGACTTTGATAATCTCTTGCTTTCGTGCTAAAGGCAAAGACACCGTATTGGGTGAGAACAAATGATGATAACCGTATAAAATATTACTCTAATAAAATTGCTATTTTCCTTAAACAGGGTGTTAGTATTTAAGACACATGATGGTCCTTTTTCCACAATCCTACTGTTCACACTGCAAAAAACAGCAGCACCTACCTTTTCCTTAGAAACCAGATTTTCAGGTCTTTTAGCCCAGGTCTGCAGGGGAGCCTGGGTACACCTGACCTTTGGGAGTCTACAAGACTACATTCTATTGATCAGAAAGCAAGTCACCTTAGAAGGTCAGGTAGCTTTTACTGTCTTTGTCACTGTGACTGATCTTCTCAACACTTTTCCATTGTCCAGTAATCAACTGTTAAAAAGTTAATCTTAAACGTGGCATGGCAAAGTGTACCTGTGGTCCTAGCACTCTAGGAGGCCCAGGTAGGAGGATCACAAATTCAAGCCCCAACCAGGCAATTTAGTAAGACCCTGTCTCAAAATAAAAGTGATGAAAAAGGTGGAGAATATATTTTGGTCCTCAGTACTACACAAAGCAAAACAAAGAAAAAAAAAATCTTTGGGAAGCGTCACTCCAAGAATGCATTAAAAAGGAAGACGCTAACACTGTGAGGAGCATCCAATTCAGAGGAAATCTGCAAAGTGGAGAAGAGACATGCCTGATACATTCTCAATCTGAGAAATCTAGAAGTTTAACTAAGAGACTTAGCAGGGAGCCAGAATCTTTACTTTGTAAACATCCTGAGCTGCACAAGAGGGCTTGGAGGCGGTGTGTGTGCCACAGGCACCCTGGAGCGGGAAGGGGTGGTGCTGGTGGCCTGCTTACAGCACACAGGAGGAAAAGAGCCTTGTCCTTTCCCTTGGCGCTCTTGCTCCTTTTGCTGTCTGCTGCAGCCGGGAAGTGTTGCCCTTGCGCCAAGCCACTCTGCCTTTGGAGGCAGCAGATTATGGACTGAAGCCTCCACAAGCTGTGAGCTAAACAAACCTTTCCTTCCTCAATTTTGGGTGTTGGGTATTTTGTCTCAGCAACAAGATAGAAACCAATGTTGTGTATGGGGACAGATAAACAGATAGGGCCCATACTTGCTCCATATAGTAGTTACCCCAGCATCAAGCACTTATTGGTTTCTATTCCGAACTCACACAGACATTATTAATGGTTGATTAGCATAAATCTAACCTGTGCAGGACATTGTTTATGACTGCAGTGTTCTTTCCCTTTTTTAATACTAGCAGATTACACAAATGCTATCCCTGGACACTCCTTAGTTAAACCACATTATTTTTTGTTTCAAATAGTTCTTAAGCTTTATACACTATGTGATATGTTTTCCTAGTTAAATTAAAGGTTTTTCTTGAAGAATTTGTTTGTATCCCCTAAAAACTTTTGTCTAAGTGTTTTTTTTTTTTTTTTAGACAAGGTTTCACTATGTAATTCAGACTGGCTTTGAATTTGCAGTGATCTTTCTGCCTCAGCCTCCTGAATGCTGGGGTTACTGGTGTGTGTCACTATGCCTGGCCTGTCTACTGTTCTTAATAAAATAGTACAATAAGTTTGTGAACTTGTCCAATTAGACTAATTATAAACTTTGCTTGATTTCACAACACTGGTTCCTTACTTATGAAATTCCTGCAGGAAATATTTTAAGAATTAAATTTTATTGAACTTTAAGATCATTGTAATGGTCCCTGAAAGTTGCTACAACTAGACAAGGCAGTGTCACAAGAAGATACTTATAATTTGTTTTAGTGGGCAGTGAGACTACTACTCATGGAAAAGCTGGTTCTTGGTTTTAATGCTTATTGATTAAAGGAAAAAAAATAAGGCCAGAGGGTCAGGGATTTAGCTCAGTGGTGTAAGCACCTACCTGGTAAGCGCAAAGTCAGGAGTTCAATCCCCATTACAAAAAAATAAAAAAGATTTTTTTTGTGATTCCATTGAACAGATTTTAATCACAAACTTAAAAATTCACATTCACTTTGACTGTCCAGGTCATCAAAGTGATAATTTTCCTTACTTAAAAATAATTATTCTATGAACATAATTTGACTCCATAAAGACTGTGAAACGATACCATGACAAACACAGTAATAAACTATCCTATGACATATGATTAAATTTGTCCTTAAAATGTCCACTAATCATGTAAAAGTCTATATATTTTTCAATTCATCAGATAGGCTTCATATTTAGTCACCTTTAATTTATACAAATTAACACAATACAGGGCTTACGTCCTATACATATCTAAAATATTGCCCTTGTTCATTTGATTAATGAATATCAATCATGTATCAATCCTGAAATTCACACTGACAGACTAAGAGCAGGGCAAATCCGATGGCATATTTTAGTTCAGGTGACTCAGCTGTCTAAAGCTTGGTACCAGATCCTGAAAGCTGACCCAATTCCAAACCACAAAGGACGTTCCGAAGAGGAGCAACTCAGAAAGCGAGTTCATAAAAACACGGCAAGCAGAGCTCCTTCCTTACATGAAATCCTCTATTAACACATTTTTGTATGTAATATGGCTGACTAGAAAACTGCTGTTTGAAAACAACGCTAGTTTCTTTTTTAAAGCAGTAGCGAAGTTTATCTAAAAAGATAAAAGTGAAGACTGAGGGGGAAACTGGCTCTTCAGAGTGAGCGTGGGTGGAGTGAAAGAGCAAAAAGTAGATAAAAGTACACCCTGGAGAATACAGGGTGGCTACAGTGAAGAAGGCCACAATAGCCAACAATGTTAATCTTAAAACAAAACAAACAAATAGAAAAGAAAGAAAAATGATCCCAGCATTTGTGAAGCTGGGGCAGGAAGATTGGCAAGGTATGGACGCCAGCCCAGCCCACACAGTTCAAGGGGCACCTGAGCTACACAGTGAGACCCTGTCTAAAAACAAAAGCCAAAAAAAAAAAAAAAGAGGATGTCATTAGTGGAACCTCATCGGCTGAGATTCAGTTTACACAAAAAGTTCAGGGTGTTTCTTGAAGTTTTTGCAGGTCTTGGCAGAGCCAGGAACACAGTGTGCAACAGAAACGTGGGCTGTGGGCGGCCAGCCTCACTTTCCAAATTCCTGTGCAAATTATGTACTCATCAGCTCTCCAGTGTATTTCATGCTACAAGTGGCTTCAATTTGCTCCTCTACCCTCAAAGCAACACAAAAGCTCTGTAACGCACCCGGGCTCTTATGTGCGGAAACAGTAGTGGTGGAGTAGCAACATGGGCTCAGCCAGGATACCATGGTGCACTGTACAGTGGCGAGGCTGAGACCCAGATGCTTACAGTGGGCCAGTCCCTGAGGCACAGCAGGACAGGACAGCTGACTGCTTAGAGGAAGGCAGAGCTGGAGATGAGTCACTCATACACAACGTCAGCCTGAGGTACACAGCCACACATGCTGGGCCTCCTGACCAGAGGCAGGAGGACAGTCACTGTGCCGATCCAGGACAGTTCGGTGCTGGGCAAGGGTTTCTGTTCATCCCTCATCCCTCATACAGGGTAAGACCTTTCTAGAAGCCCAAGTGGGGAGCCCTTGAGTCACATTACTTCTCACCCCAGGATGTGGGGATAACGCAACATCAAGGAGGTCGTGGAATACTTGGCACTTCTTTCATGCCAGCGCTGGCCCTGCAATCATGGTATTTTTATTTCTAGAATCGAAGTACTTATGTCCATAACTACAGGTCCTAAAGTCCTACACATATCTAAAATATTCCCAGGGTGGGGAAACTGAGAAAAAGAAAGCAAGTAAAAAGGATGTTTCAGGTTCTGAGTGTCATTACTTTCCACAAAAATATACCAAAGAATTGGGTAGATTTCCATTGAAATTGGAGGCCTTTTTCTAAAGAGGCTTTGGAGAATTAGATAAACATGTGAATAGTTCCAGTATTTAAGAAACAGCAAACAAGCCAGTAAACAAACTCATAGTCGAGAGTAAGTGTATAAAGAGACAATTTAGCAATTTCCATTTCTCTGCAACAGCAAATCTGATCACAAGCGTGCTTTGAGGTATGCAACAGCCACCACATCTGTGATAATCAGTAAGTTGATTTCTCTTTCTCCTCCCTTCCTTCTTTTCTTCCAGAGATGGAAGACTGGGTCTCGGGCATGCTGGCCAAGTGCTCTACAGTGAGCTGCATCCCAGTCCTCCTCTTGAATCACCCACCACTTGTCTGACATGTACCCTCGCTGGCCCTGTTGTCCTACTCTCTGCACTTTAAATCTTTTTATTCTTTTAAAAGGTTTGATTGGAGGCCCTTTTCTCTTCTACAACTGGATTTTAAGAGTTCGATTCTTAAGAGTTCAAACTTTTACTTTTTTTTAATTTAAAGGGCATAAAACAAAACAGTGACAAGACAGTAGGAAATCCACAAAAGTTATTATATTGCACATTGTTAACCTCTAAATAGTTGCTCAGACAATTGGCTTTGGCTTGCAAAGTCAATCAGACACTACAAACATGAGGTTGTTGCTTTACTTTAGTGGTTACCATCTCAGCCTGGGTGCTCTGAACCAGCCAGTTGCTCATGGGGGCGAGGCATTTTCCTTCCTAGTTCTTCCGGCTGGTAGGTCCACTGCTCGGGCACGATGGGCTGTGTAGCTTCCTTTCTGGTTCTTGTCAGCTGGAACATGGGAGACTGTGTAGCTTTCTTTCTGGTTTTTCTCAGAAGATTTCATTTCTTAATAGTTTTTGTATGCCAGTGCTTTAAATTGTAATCTATGTTATGTTACAAAACAAACTGCAATAATTTAACAGTTGTAATTGGCCTGTGTGTGTGGGGGGGAGGTATTGGGGACTGAAACCAGTGCCTGAGCACTGAACTGCACCCTCAGTGCCCAGCCCCCCAATCCTTTTAAAATTTTTAAATTTTGAGACAGGATCTCACTAAATCTCCAAATTGCCTAGGCTGGGCTGGGCTTAGACTTATAAGCCTCTTGCCTCAGCCTCCCAGAGCACTGGGATTATAACTGTATGGCTCTATTTTCAGT